TAAGAAACCATGGGCATCCTCACCTTCTGTAACACTGAAAGTTGGAGGCTGAAATCTACCAAACCTCTCCAACCTACGCTACTCGTCCTCTGGCATGGCAGGAACTACATAGTCCTTAGCAGCTGCAACCAGTTGGGCTGGATGTGCCTCCGCACGTCTGAAGTCCCTACACGACCTACTTAGGTGTGCGAGCGGCGGGAGTCTGATTGCCTCCCCCGGCCTGAGAAGTAGTTGCGGCTGTAGTAACTGAAACCATCTGAGCTAAGCCAGTGCAAACTAATAGAATCTAAGCCAAGGCCTCCTGAAGACCCGGAATCACAATGGGCATAGTTGGTGCCTTAGCTGGTGCTGCTGGAGCATCCATAAATAGGACATGATCCTGAACTGGGGTGGCTGGTGGATCCGCAGGTGCTGCCCTAGCTGCTGTGCGGGCCACACCCATGCCCCTACTGCGACCATGACCGCGACCTTGACCTCTAGTAGCCACAGCTGGTGGTACTGGTGGTCGTCCATCCTGACCGGTAGCGCGTATCCTCACCATCTGTGAGAGAATAGAATAACAGAAGTTTAGTACTCGGATCAACAAATTCGTACGACAAGAATTTCAAGTATATGAAGTTTTTCCTAAAGGTTCTGCAGCCTCTCGAGGATAACTGCAGACGTCTCCGTATCGATCCGTGAGACTACTAAACCTGCTCATGACTCATGAGACCTATATAACCTAGGCTCTGATACCAACTTGTCACGACCCTAAACCAGGACCCGGTTGTGATGGCGCCTCTCGTGAAGCCAAGGCCAGCCGACACTTCCTATTTCAGTTTTAAGCATTTAAAATAATAAGATTCAAGTTTAAAGCATGATAAAATAACCCAAGGTTTAAGCAGTCAACAATACAAATATGCGGAAGAACAACCCAACATAGCCCGATACCGGGGTGTCACTAGTCATGAGCATCTACCAATCCTAATACAAGTATGAAAAGTCTATAAGCTATTACAAAATATCTAATAAGAGATATAATGATAAAGGGGAGAAACACGGGACTGCGGACGCCAAACAGCTACCTCGTGGACTCTGAAATCTACCGAGAGCTCTCAACTCGCACTAGCAGGATCCACAACGCCTGAATCTACACACGGGGTGTAGGGAGTAAAGTGAGTACTCCAACTCAGTGAGTAATAATCATAAATAAAGACTGAAAGCAGGAAATCACGTAAGGCACATTGCATGCTATAATGAAGCAGTAAAACCATTAAAATAGTGAATTAGTAAAGATACGAATAATCATATAAGTTCAGCTTAAACTTCAGGAAACACCTTTTTAACAATTTAAACAGATAAATGACAGACAAATAAGACAGATAAGCACATAAAGGTTTTGCCCCTCGGGCACAATGTCAACAATACCAGCCCATCGGGCTATCTCTCACATCACAATGGGTACCCGTGCTCATTGGGGGTGTACACACTCCTAGAGGGGCCCCTTACAGCCCAAGCGCAATATTAAGCCATCTCGTGGCATCATAACTAGGCCCTCGACCTCATATCAACAAGCCATCTCATGGCGTATAAATCTCCGGCCCTCGGCCTCATAATAATAGTCAATTTTTCCTCACCACATAGGCCCTCGGCCTTAGTTAGTCAAAATCCTCACAAGCCATTCGGGCAATTGTAAAACATGATTCTCAGCCCAAAATATCATTTAAAAGATCATTTAAGTTTTAAAACAGAGTAAACATGGTTGAGTTATGAAAACAGTGGAATATAGCATGACTGAGCTCAAATGTAAAGTCAAAATAGTGAGAAAATATCAATAAAATCCCCTAAGGGTTCCAATAGTTGGCACAAGGCCCGAATATGGCGTTCAGCCTAAAACATGATGCTCACGAATAGATTTCAGTCAAATATGTGGTAAAATAGTCATTTAGGACGAACTAAGTCACAATCCCCAACAGTGCACAACCCCACGCTCGTCATCAAGCGTGTATGTCTCCTCAATGTAGCATAACGATGTGTAAATCAGGGTTTCATACCCTCAGAACATCATTTATAATCATTACTCACCTCAATCCGGTCAAATCTCTAGCCCGCAACGCCTTTGCCCCTCGTATCGGCCTCCACTCGCATCGAATCTATCCAAAATTAGAATCACGACGTCAAAATATACTAAGGGAATAAAGCCCAAGTGAAAATAATCAATATACAACACAATTCCCAAAATTATCAAAACCCGACCCCCGGGCCCACATCTCGAATTTTGGTAAAAATCACATCAATGAATTCCTTATCACTCCTCGAGTTCATACATACCAAAGCATCAAAATCCAACCATAAATGGCCCCTCAAATCCCAATTTCTAGGTCTCCAATTTCAAGACCTAGTTCTTCCATTTTAGTCTTAATTTCTATGATTAATTAGGTAATTTCATAATAGAATCGAGTTTTAAGTCCATGAATCTTACCGTCAGGTGTTTCCCCTTGAATCCCTCTTCAATCCCCTTCAAAAAGCTCCAAAAACGCTCAACAATGGAGGAAATAAACCCCAAAATTGCGGACAAGACGACTATTTAAACATTCTACCCAGGCCTGAAATCCTTCTTCGTGAACGCGGTCAAAGCCTCGCATTCGCGAAGCACAAAATAACTTTGACCAAAATTCCTCTTTCGCGATCGTGACCTGCCCATCGCAAACGCGATGAATAAATTTCCTTGAAGCTCAGCTGCCCATTTTCTTCTACGCGAACGTGACACCACCCCGCGAACGCGATGCACAAATACTCAGCCCTTCGCGAACACGGAGCCTTCCTCACGAACGCGAAGGCTTAAATCCCAGCTTCCTCAACTGACCCTTCGCGAACGCGAGGACCCACTCGCGAACGCGAAGGTCATTTCTCTGAAGCACTGACCTGCAATTTTCTGCAACTCCAAACATCATGAAATGGTCCGATTGACCACCCGAAACTCACCCGAGGCCCCCGGAACCTCAACCAAACATACCAACATATCCCACACCTCATTCAAACTTTTTCCAACCTTCGGAACAATCAAAATAACATCAAAACATGAAGTTCGTATCAGATTCAAGCCTAAAAATTTCAAAATCTTCTAAATTATGCTTTTGATAAAAAATCCAACCAAACCACATCCGAATGACCTAAAATTTTGTACACACATCCCAAATGACACCACAGAACTACTTCAACTCTCGGAATTTCATTCCGACCCCCTATATCAAAATCTCACCTATCAACTAGAAATCGCCAAAAATCCAATTTCGCTAGTTCAAGCCTAAATCTACTCCGGACCTCCAAAACTCATTCTGATCATGCTCCTAAGTCCAAAATCACCTCGTGAAGCTAACCGGACCATCAGAACTCACATCCGAGCCCTCTAACATATAAGTCAACTTTTGGCTGACTTTTCCAACTTAAGCTTCCTTAAAAGAGACTAAGTGTCTCAAACCTTACCAAATCTTTTCTGAACCCGAGCCAACCAACTCGATCATATATAGAACCGATATACAAAGCAATAAGAAGTAGAAATGAGGAAAACGGAGCTGTAACTCATGAGACGACTGGTCGGGTTATCACATTCCCAAATCTCCTTGGCAGATTGACAGGCAGAGATCCTGTTGTATTCGTCTGGTCCAATACCACAAACAAGGTTATTTTTTGCTCGAAAGTTCTTCTCTATAGCTTTGCAGTCAGCATCGTTATACTCTTTACTTGTCTTGGGAACTGTCACTATTAGTTTGCTAATGGTCTTCAAAGGAACGAAGGGTCCATCGTAAATAACATCCTAGAGATTAGAATCTTCACCCATGATAAAATCATGCATCCTTGTCTTTCACCATCCGTAGTATTGTCCATTGAACCTCGGTGGTCTGTAGGTAGATTGACCTTCTTCAAAGTTTGGTGGAGTAGCCATGAGAATCTTTTATAGGTGTTAGCCTGATAGAAAGAACCTGCCCTGATACCATTTGATAGAAACTAAGGGTCCACCAAACTATATAGAGAACCCGGTTCTCTAATAGTTCCCACTGAACACACACACAGAGCACTAAGTAAATAACACAATGAAGTTTTAAAAACCACAACCTACACTCATAGGATTTCAACTTCACTACTGAGCAAACTTCATATTACAAACTATTGTAACCTAGGAATTAAACTCGTAATCCCTTACTCACTTGTAATAACTCTATTACAAGCCCCTTTGTAATAACTCTATTACAAAGCTTACAACTTGACTAACTCTAGCCAAGACACAAACACAAGGTTTATGGTTTTACAAAAGATTTCCTGCACAATGCTTCTAGCTAATCTAAGTAGGAATTATAAGTAAATCACGTTATCAAAGGTGCAACACAACTAAGGACATATAATAACTCAATGCAAGAAACTAGTCCTTCGTTATGTTGTTCTCTGTTCTTGAAGCCCTGAAAGTCACTTGCAAGATCGCCACACACTTGAGAGAAAGCTTGATTAATTCTGGAAATGTGCAAGTGTTATTTTCCTTTGCCTCATGTTAATATTACCGAAGTGATGTCACTTGGATGATGCAAGAATATTTGGTACAAGAGCATTCCCCATAAAGTGACTGCTGCACTGTTTGTCTTGTTGCGTGTGTGCAGAAGAACAGTTGCAGCAGCTTTACAGTTGTGGGGAGTTGACTAGTACAGTCAGCAAGGGTGCTTCCATCTGTTCCCTCTGTCGTTTCTTTGACTCTAAATTGTTGAAACATGTCTCCGACTTGAGACTTGTTATTCTAGTGCACTTTGAGGATGTGGAACAGGTTCCCCATCTGGTTCATATCATTAAGTTTGTTAGATCATCAAAACATAACAGGATACATAACCTATCAAAACACAGTATTAGAAAAACTCTAACTTCCGATCGAAATTTTCGACTGAAATTTTTTGTCGGAAATCTCCAACGGAATTTTCAAAAAAATATTTCATATATATTTTTAGAAAATTATCGACCACATTTTCGACAAAATCGGTCGCAACTTTTGGCGAAAAATTTATTTTGATTGGTTTGGCTTTATTTCCAACCGATTTGGTCGGTAGTTTTTAACAAAAAAATTAAAATAATAATTCCAACCGAATCGGTCAGAATTCTTTTTTAAAAACCTTACAGCCCCCTCCCCAAAAAGCAGAAGCTCAGTTTTCATTCTCTCATATCTCCCTCTTGTCCCCAAGGTCCTCTCGTCCTTCTCCCCCGTCCCAAGCTCGTATGTTTGCCCTTTCTCTCGTTTCCTCATCCCTTCTCCCTCTCCTTCCTCCTCCCTTTACCCTTTAATTAATTGATTTTTTTTACTTTGTTTTGCAGGTGCATCTCGCATGGTCGGCGGCGGCGGCGACAACAACTCCTCAGTCGACTTCTCCGGCATTGTTTCCGTCGAGGTAAGTATTTCGTTGAACCTCATTAAGTATTAGAAATCTCATTTTTTTGATTGATAATAGAATTTTTTGGTAATAATTATGAAAATTAGCATTAACAAAAACAAAATAATACACCTATAGAGCACTTTTTAGAATGATATTAAATGAGTCAATGAGTCTCTGCTGTTATTTTTTGGGAGGTTGATTGAAAATTTCACAAATTCTTTAAAAATTTTGTTATTTGATTTCTAGGAATTTTATGATCTTTGTGTTTGCGTGTAACAAGTTTTCTCTATTGGTCTTTATTACTGAAATTTTTGCCATGTGTTATGCTTAGAATGTTGGTACGGGGTTTTCATCATATTCTTTGACTTTGATAGTCTTGTAAGTTTTTGGCATTTTTAAGTTCCTTGAATTTTCTTGTACATTTCCTAGTTTTATGTACTTTAAAACTTTAATCTAACCTTAAGGTTCTTCAACCACCTCCCCACCACAAAAAATATTGTGCTGATTTTCTAGAAATCTAAGAAAGGTGTGTGAAGCTATAATTAACAGAGAATAAAGGTTTGTATAGTACTGTTTATACTGTTAGCTATAACTAGTTGATGGTAGTCAAACCATGGTATCATAAAGAACTTTCTTTTCGCCATGTCCTCTGATTCCACTTGGAGTAGCTGTATCCTTCTATTTCATTTTGTTATCCCACATTTGTAGTTATAAAGATTGTGAAACTACATACTATGTGTAGGGATACTCTTAATGGTTTGAGGGCTTTCGGGGAGAAAATGACTGATGAAGATTAACTTTTCCAAAAATTATAATCAAAGAAACATATAAAATAATATAGTAATATTTCTATATTCACTTTTTAGAATGATATTAAATTTAATTTTTTCAATTTCAACAATAAGGTTAATTTGTAAATTTGAGAAATTATTAATTAATTTGGATTATATGAACATTTAAGAAGCTATTCAAATTTAATTAGTATATTTAAAGACTTATATTATTTAGAATATGGATTAATGTGAGATTTCGAGTGTTAAAAAATATTAATTTAAAAAAATAAAATATATTAATTAAAGTGCTTTGAAAGAGTATAACTTTGTAACCAGTTTAAATAAATTAAATTACTTTAAATATCTCATTTATAGATTTTTATTTGTGTATATGGAATTTGTGCATCGTAGATGGATGTATAATAGGAATCATCCTAATCGTGGGGGGTTAAGGGATGAATTTATTGAAGGGGTTGTTGTCTTTATTGCTAAGGCTCAAACACTTGATGATTTTTTTATTGGAGGAAGGATTAGGTATTCTTGTGTGAAATGTAAGTGTGTTAAGTTATTGAAATCAGACGAAGTTAAAGTCCATCTCTACAAGAAAGGGTTTGTAGAAAATTATTATATATGGACTGTTCACGGGGAGAATCAGCCCAGCTACATCTAGTGCTGCTTCTGCACCATCTCGTAGACGCAGGCAAAATCTTGGAGGGGGTGTACAATTTGATAGTTATAATCGATTGATAATCGTCCCCCACAAGGATGCAGTAAGAAGGTTCTTATACAAATTTTTATGTTTTGAATGTACTTTTAGATATGTTAACATTAAGGAGTATTTATTTGCAATTAAAAGATGTTTATTGATTAAATATATGTTAACTTTAATGTGGGTTTTTGCCATCCTTTCAAGCTACACATTTGGTTACAGATTCTATGAAGCCATTTTATCATGAGCCGTGGACTTCTTGGAGAAAGATACCGTACAGCATCAGAGAGCAAATGTGGAATTAATTTAGGGTAAAAAATAATCATAGTTATTTAATAATTATCGTCTTCATCTAATGTTACTTTTTATATTGTAGACAAGGTGTACATGGTATCCTCATCATCAAAATGCAATAAATAGTATTTTCGAGAAGAAAGTTGGTATAAGAATTAAAGATACTATGTGTGCTACTCGGAATTCTGGTAAAATGCCGGACTGGTTAAGAGAAGATGTTTGGGATAAACTTCTTGAGAAATGGATACCCCAGAATGGAAGGCAAAGAGTGAACAAGAAAAGGCAAACCGTGCCTCTAAAAAAGGTAGCTCGTTGCGCACAGGAGGTTCGTTTACTTTTGAGGCCCTTAAACTAAGAATGGTAATTATTTATTAAAATTTTCTTAGTTTTACATATAGAATTTTACGTTTGTAAAGTCTAACTCATACTTTTTCTTATGAAGGAAAGGGAAAGAGGGCGAGATATGAGTCACGCTGAGGTCTTCGAGGAGTTGCATAAGAAAAAGAAAAAGGATGGTACAAGAGAACACTGGGTGGAGACACGTGCGTCAGACATATATGTAAAATTCTAACTTCATAATTATTTATGATTTATTAATATTAGTTTATTTACATAATAGTTATGTTTTTCATTTTAGGAAGATTATCATAAAAGGTTGGAAGAATGGCAACAAACTTAGCCTCCTTCAACTCAACCAACACCTGATGATATGGCTTCATTGTGGATAGAGGCAGCGGGTGGAGCAAACAAAGGCAGAGTCTACGGACTAGGAGTACGTCGACCTACAGGTCATCCAAACTCACTCTTAGCCAATTCTTCTTCTCCTCAAAATCAAGAACAAATGGAAGATATGAGAAACGAAATTCGTGAATTGAAGCAACAATTAGACTCCCAATACGGAACATTTATTAAGATGTAGAAATTCATGCGTAAACATGGGCATGATTTATCTGATGATGAGGATGAACAAACTAAATCTGATGTGTAGTAGTTTAGTTGTGATGTTTTGGTTGATTTGTAAATTTGATTGTGAGAGACAACTTTATGTATTGCTTTTAAACTTGAATGTGGGCTACTATTTGGATGTTTTTATGCCCAAAATTGTTGGGTTTAAATGTTGGTATTGTTGGTTTAAGTTGTGTTAATGGTTGCCATTGTTGGTTTAGAATTTGTTAATGTATTGTTAATTTAGATAGTGCTAATGTATTGTTGGTTCGTATTATATTAATGTATCGTTGGTTTAGATTGTTGTTAATGTATTGCTAGTTGGTATTTTTTTTGTTTGTGATAGTTTGACTGGTGGTGTGGCTCGAAATTGGGCAGAATTCTTCCCAGTTTTATATAAAATTCCGACTGAAACGGTCGGACAGCTCCCCAGATTTAACCATAAATTCTCAGATTTCCGACTGATTCGGTCGGAAATTTAAACAAAAAAATTAATATTCAAAAAAATTCGACAGATTCCGTCGGAAATTAAATAAAATTTAATTTTTAATTATTAATTTCCGAAAGATTCGGTCGGAAATTTAAAAAAAGATATCCAATTGTTTCGACGGATTCCGTCGGAAATTAAATAAAACTTAAATTTTAATTATTAATTTTCCTTGTATTATTACGACTGATTCAGTCGGTAAATTTCGACCACTTTAGTCGGAAACTTGAATTATTTGGTAGTCTGACCTTTTTGAAATTTGCGACCACTTTGGTCGGAAATCACCGACAGATTCGGTCGGAAATTATTTTCTGATCAACTTTTTTCCGACCGACCAATTTCGGTCGGAAAGTAGTCGAAAATACGTGATTTCCGACCGAATTCCGACCGTTTTGGCCGTCGGAAATCTTCCATTTTCTAATAGTGACATCAGTGATTGATTTCACAGCTCGAATCCATAACCTATAGGTCACAGAAAAATAATATTATCGTTGCTCCGAGGTTTCCTTTCTACCTCAAAGCTTACTATTATAAAATAATATAAAAAAGTTATAAGTACAGTGATACTTGGCAATTATTCTATATCGGAGTTTTTGGTTGGGATGAATTTTCCTTTAACCCTCTTAAAAAGAAACATCTTCTATTCTTTTTAATTAAACAATAAAAACATGTATAAATAAGTTTCTACAAAAGACAAAGCGACAAGTGCCGACCGAGCTCCAGGCAATAAAGAACCCACGTAGCCAAGTCAATAACGTTTTCAACCTGCTAAATTTGAAAACAACTGTACACCAGGCAAAACTGCTGGATATGGATTATAGAGTCAAGTCGACAAACTGTGATGTGTAACAATGTGACAAACATGATCTTGACCCACAAGTTTGCTAATAATTATCCCCAAGTATTTTACATTGTCAGTTACTTATTAAATAATATTTAAATAAAAATCATTACTTTTGCTTTATTCCATAAAGAGCATATTCATTTATAATTACAGTATTTTTTTAAAGATCATACACGTTTAGTAGTCTTCAAATTTTTAAACATAATCCACAAATTAAAGAACTAATTTTGAACCAAATTAATTTATCCATATTTCTCTCTCATCATTGATCTAAACTTGCCATTTTTACGAAAGTTCCCCTAACAAATTGCTCTTAGGATTCCCATCTTTCATTAAATATATCAAACAAAATCTAAATAAATTCACATTTTTATTTCGTGTTTGAAGGTGTGTATATATACATATGTGATATATTTTTTACAATCTCTCTCTCTCTCTCTCTCTCTCTCTCTCTCTATATATATATATATATATATATATATATATATATATATATATATATATATATATATATATATATAAAACTGACCCTTGATTTAAGGAATCATATGTTAGAGCTTAAAAATCTCTCATATTCAACCAAAATCTCAAAATTATAGAGATTATTTATCCACTAATCTCTTTACCCTTACGAACCCAAAAATTCCTCTCTTTTCGTTCTTTTTCTCACAATTGTAGGGATCATATGAAGGTTTCTTTATTATTCCTTTTTAAAATAAGGCATTTGAAAGTCTCATGGAGTTGGAAATTTTTTGATATTGATGGACAACCGACTAATATCTTATGTATTTTTATTGTGTACTAAAATATATTTAATGCCTATCTTATGTATTTTTACATTGTATCAAGTTGTTTATTTGATGTATATTTATGATTTGAGCATTTATACCCTAAATATATACATTGTATTTTTTATAACCTAGGATCCCGTATTTTTACCTTATATAATACTCCTATGTGTTTTAAATTATATTTATTTCATTTTAAATACATATAAAACGCAGGGTATAATCAAGACTTATAAAATATATACTCAAAGCAATTTCCACTGTAAAACATACAAAAAAGTGACAAAAGTATTCCACTATTATTACATGTATCATACTTGCAAATTATGTGTAAGATATATATGTTAAATTCCAACAATTTTAAATTATGTTAATTAGTATACAATACTTGGTATATTCATGGTATGTGTGAGATATAAAATATTTATACTGGAATATACCATAAATATTTTTTTCTAATAAAAAACTTGTGCATATATCCAGTATATATATTTAATATATTTGTAAAATATCTACAGTATAAAACTTAGTATATACTATCATTAAAGATTTAAATATTCAAACATGAAAAAAAAAACATAAACCAAAAAAATATAATCTAAGGAATCAGTTGGGTTGGGGATTAAAGAACATATGCTTAGGAGATAAATAAGGAATAAATCCCTAAGTTAATACGATGCATGATTTTAGGCATATGATTAGGGTTTCAGTTTTGGGTGGATCTGCTATATAAGCAAATATTTTATGGCTACTATTGATATACTAAGTTTGCTGCTAGAAATATGTATTATGTTTTTAAAAATTACACAGGTATGTAAAGCTCCCTTAAGCAAATGATAATTAAATCATGTGTTGCACGAACTCTTCAAAATATCATCGGACTAATATCGATTTTTTTTTAAAAAAAAAAAAAATTACTTTTGAAGAATCTGACAGCTTGACAATATTTTCGAAGAATTCGTACAAACATAGGTTAAATCTAATGATGCTCAACTTCCAAATGAATCACACCCTGATGCTTCCCATTAAATTTTTGAATCAAGGTAATTTTTTTTTTTGGCAAACATAACATTGAAAACCAAAAGAATCAAGGTATGGGTATCCTTCTTAAGTACCATCAGATCAGGTGGTTTTATGATTTGATTTTGATTTTAAAAGTTAGAATTGAAAAAAGAAAATTGGGAAAAAATTGCAAAGTTTCAATTAACTTAAAGATATTTTACGAACATTCAAATTAATTTAAGAAAATGTAGATTAATTTTCTTTTGGTTTCTGATAAAAATTAGAAAGGGGAGCCTTGGCGTGACTGGTAAAGTTGTTGTCATGTGACTAGGAGGTCACGGGTTCGAGCCATGAAAACAGCTTCTTACAGAAATACAAGGTAAGATTGCGTTAAATATAGGGGGAAGTGCACGGTTAGCAACTAATAACATATGTATTCACTTTTAAGCCACTGTTTAAAATATCTTTATTCTTTAGCCATTACTTTAACAAACTTTAACTGCCCGGACGAAAATACCATTCTGCTCATGTCCTTAACTTTTGAACTTAACTTCAAGATTTCAGGACTACATGTCCTTAACTTTTGAACTTGTAACTCTAAGTTCAAGACTATATGTCCTTAACTTTTGAACTTGGAACTCTAAGTTCATGACTTCAGGACTACATGTCCTTAACTTTTGAACTTAACTTCAAGATTTCAGGACTACATGTCCTTAACTTTTGAACTTGTAACTCTAAGTTCAGGATTTCAGGACTACATGTCCTTAACTTTTGAACTTAACTTCAGGACTGCATGTCCTTAACTTTTCAACTTAACTTCAGGACTATATGTCCTTAACTTTTAAACTTATAATTGTTGTCCTTAACTTTTGAGCTTGTTAGTCTAAGTTCAGGACCTAATGTCCTTAACTTTTGAGCTTGTTAGTCTAAGTTCAGGACCTAATGTCCTTAACTTTTGAGCTTGTTAGTTTAAGTTCAGGACCAAGTGTTCTTAACTTTTGGGCTTGTTAGCCTAAGTTCAGGACCTATTGTCCTTAACTTTTGAGTTTGTTAGTCTAAGTTCAGGACCTCAGGACCTCAGGACCTATTGTCCTTAACTTTTGAACTTGTAACTGTAAGTTCAGGATCTATTGTCCTTAACTTTTGAGCTTGTTAGTCTAAGTTCAGGACTTCAGGACCTATTGTCCTTAACTTTTGAACTTGTAACTATAAGTTCATGACATATTGTCCTTAACTTTTGAGCTTGTTAGTCTAAGTTCAGGACTTCAGGACCTATTGTCCTTAACTTTTGAGCTTGTTAGTCTAAGTTCAGGATCAAGTATCCTTAACTTTTAAACTTGTAATTCTATGTTCAGGACCAAGTGTCCTTAACTTTTGAACTTGGAACTCGAAGTTCAAGACTAAGTGCCCTTAACTTTTGAACTTGGAACTCGAAGTTCAAGACTAAGTGCCCTTAACTTTTGAACTTGAAACTCGAAGTTCAAGACCAAGTGTATTATATTCTTTGTTTTTCATTTTATTTTTGGGAGGGAGAAGGATTCATTTGTTTGTTTATGCAATGGGTATATATTAAAGGAGTAGTGAATTTCTGCCTACACAGTGCAGTCTATTAAAAATATTGTCACTATAGCGAGGACTCTGTCTGGGCTACATTAAAGCAACTTACCATGTACTTGAAAACAATGGACTTGGTTTAAATGAAGCAAATCTTTAGATAAAGTTTAACTTCTTTTTCTCAATTTATTGTCTCTTTGTCTATTCTACTTGTTTTTCTGTACAAGCAGTTATTTTTCGATCGGTTGTGTTGATTAAATTTTTTTCTTCGCTTTCTGTTCTTTTTGAGTTTTTTAATTCTTGGTTATTACATCTCCCATACGATGAAGACAGAAGAATCTAAGGTTAGGTGGAATTGGAACTTTTAACTTATCTTTCTTCCTATCAACCATTCTTCGGCACCTTATTGTGAATCACAACATTAGCTACTAAAGAAGAAAATCCTTCCGGCACAATTCTTCTCCCTAACATGAAAGAGATAGAAGAAAGGGTAACACAGTCTTTTCATATTAATTTTAATAGCTTAGTGTCTACTATTGCTAAGCATTAAAAATGCTGGATAAAAACTAAATACATCTTTAAAAAGTGGCTACTCCATATAATTTTTACTGCAGTATACTTTGTGGTCCTACCCTTCCTCAGACCTCGCACATAATAGGAGCTTAATGCAACGAGCTACCTTTCTGATAAATATTTAGCTCTATTTTTTTGAAGATCAAATTTATATTTCTAACCTAAACACCATATCAAAATCCCTGGGAGTGTCATATGAACCTAAAAGTATGATTTTTGGTCAAACCAAGTTATAGAGAAGGTTAGACCAATTCAGGAAGGAACAATGATTTCAACTAAACGGAAAGGAGTATTGTAGAATTATATTTGTCAAGGTAGAATTTGATTTGATCGGAATAAATAGCGATTGTTGCTTCGAGGGAAAATAAAAAATAAAAAAAAATATTTTTTTTAGCCATTTCAAAATATAATAGTCGATAAAATATAAGTATTTTTTTTCTATTCATTTGAAAAAATTAATACCCTTTTTATTGGAGATCACGATACTTCCCAAAATTGAAACTCTTGATCAATGGAGAAACAATATCACCGTTTTTACTTAATAAAATATTAAAGTAGATGATTGACTTATTCTGTACTGAAAATAATCTCAGAAAATTCTTTGATAATCTTGATTTCTAGTTCTCAATGATATTTCACGATCAACACAATTGGCTGAATCCCGTGAAACCATTTCATAGAAGTTCATTGATGTCTTCTTTTTATAAAGTAAATCGACTTCGATTTTGAATAATCCACATAGCTTATTCTTCTATATATGTGTATTATATATATATATATATATATATATATATATATTCAAATGGCTATTGTTTAAAGATCAAACTCTCTCCGTTTCAGTTTATGTGAACCTTTTCGTTTTTTGAGATTCAAACAGCGTAAACTTTTACCAACATTTTGAAATGCATATTTCATCATATTGACATGTGAAAAAAAGCAACTTACAGTACTTTTCGTATAGCTTTTAATCCAAATTTTGACTTCAAAATATTAAGTTAACCTAATCTAATTTAACTTAAAAAATTNATATATATATATATATATATATATATATATTATACACTTTTTAATTAAAAAATACAATTAATTTTGACCAATCGACCAATTTTATATTTTTCCAAATAAAAATGAGTTATTTTTTTAACCGACCCCGCGTACAAGTAGATGAATAGTAGACTTTTCTAGCTAATTCATTTTGATTTTTGGGTAATTTTTAAGGGAATTTTCTTTTACAAATGTCCCTCTCCTCCCCCAAAAATACTAGATACTTAGAAAGAGAACAAAAACTAGTAAGAATGCGACTAGAGAGTGTACCAAGTAAAAGACCTACGTGTTTAAACCTAAATCATGCACCAAAACACTCTAAATCATGCAGCAAAACACTCTGCAGCAAACCTAAATCACTCTGACGAATTGTTTGGTATATGAGATAACAATAATATTTTTAGAATAAAATTTTAAATTAATTTTATTTTATGTTTGGTTTTGAGGTATTAGTTAATTTCGAAATAATTTTATGTCAAAATGATGAAATTAGTTATCCCATATAAAAAGTGAGATAATTAATTCTATAAAATATCCCGATAAAATATCTCATTATTATACCAAACGACCCCTTAATAAAATAAAGTTGCCATCACAACTTAGAAGCTGGTTTAAGCAATCATCATTAACACCTCATACCATATTCTTTCTAAATTTCAACACTCAATACGCAATCCCTGCTGCCTTTTTTTTGTCTTTTTCCAGCTTTTTCTACATCTCTCTCTGGTCTCACTTTCTTTCTCTCTCACACAGTAAAAGTGTAAAAACACACACATATAATTACACGTATGAATACCAATCTTCAAAGTCACCAAAGCCTAACGCATCTAAGTAAAGCAAAAGCAACAAAGTAATAATCAAACTAAATCCTTTGCCCACTTTTTTCAACACCTAACTTGTACAAATATTTAATCAAAATATTTTTTAGAATTTTCCTGATATATTGGAGCTCCAAGATTCAAGGAATTTACTATACCCATCTTCTTGATTCTCAAAAATAGCTTTAATTTCAGGTGTTTCTGGGATGGGAACTTTGACTGCTTCTTTAGTAGTTCCATCTAAGCTCAAACCTGAAAAGCAAAGCTCTATTTTTATATACAAAACCAGAAGAAAATCCAACAAGAATCAATCCATAGTCCCTGTAATTTTCCACTCTCTTTTTCTCTCCTTTTGGGTTTTCAGAATTTAATATTCAGATATTGTTTTCTCCAATTTTTAATTGAGTTCCCTTGATAGTTTATTTGTTTCTTAAATTATTAGGTGGCAAGGTTATTTGGACCAGCTATATTTGAAGCCTCAAAACTGAAGGTATTATTCTTAGGAGTTGATGAGAAGAAACATCCAGGAAAATTGCCAAGAACATACACATTGACTCATAGTGATGTTACCTCTAAACTCACTTTGGCTATTTCTCAGACCATTAATAATTCTCAGGTAATTAATTCTATTTTTTAGCCTGATAACATATGTTAATTCTTTGTGTTTTTCATACTGCTGAGAGAAAGAGAGTGAACAGGGGAAGGTTACCTTAGTAGTAGTAGTTTTGATATATTGATTCTTGGAGTAGTTTTGTTTGTGTTGCGCGGATTCTCCAAAATAACCGCCGCACCCGGGTTAGATCCTCCAAAAATTGTTTTGATATATTGATTCTTGGAGTAGTTTTTTTAGTGTAGATTTGGAGTCATAAGATCTTGAAGGTCGATGTTGGAAAAAATAGCCTTTTGGACCTGATTAGTCGGCTCATTAGGTCTAACCTTAAGCCGTATGTATACACCACTATGGGTGTTTGAGAAACTCAAGAGAGGGCGGCTAGGATTACTCTGCATGTTAGAGAAAGGTAGTAGGTTGTGGACAAAGTGTATTCATCCGCTTCATGAGGATTCCTGGTTGCTGCAAATACGCTTCCGCTAAGGAAAACTTGTAAATCTTCTAACTAGTATTTATGGGCTAAATACTATAGTCGATGATCTATTACTTAATAGGGGCAATCATCATTCTATCACTTGAGGTAGATTTTCAAAATTTAAATTTGATAGATTCATCCTTAATAAAGTAAAGTAAATTTCATTAATAAATACCATTCTTGATACAATTCGATAGGTTAAACCTTTTAGATTCATAGTGTCGAACTAGTTATACTTTTGAAATTGTGTGTTCATAATTTTATATTTTTTGAAATTTTATTGATTCTTCAAATATATATCTATATTCTATGTCAAATATACTACGTTCAGTTGAAACCATTGAACATAGGCTCCATTCGCCTATGTTCTTCACCAGATATTGGGGCGGATTTAGCACACAAGTTGCAAGTGCTAATCTAGACTCCTCCCAATATACATATAAGGAAAATTTGAAGAAAAGTTTGAGGATATGAAAATATATTAAGGGGTTCTTTTAAATCTTGATCTGTCTTAATGCTGAAAATTTTATATATTTTAAGAGAAATTTTGTTGAGAAAAAAAGGCAAAAATAGGAAATTTGATGTTTGATTTGCAGTTGCAAGGATGGTATAATAAACTGCAAAGGGATGAAGTGGTAGCAGAATGGAAGAAAGTTAAAGGGAAGATGTCACTTCATGTCCACTGTCACATAAGTGGAGGCCATTTCTTGTTAGACTTGTTTGCTAGACTCAGATACTATATCTTCTGCAAAGAACTCCCTGTGGTAAGTTTATAAAATGTTAATATCACATTTTCCTAAGATTGGCATTTATTTATTTTGGAAGGGGAGCCTTGGCGTAACTGGTAAAGTTACTGTTATGTGACCAGGAGGTGACGAGTTCCAGCCTCTTGCAAAAATGCCGGGTAAGGCTGCGTACAATAGACCCTTGTGGTCCGGCCCTTCCCGGACCCTGCGCATAGTGGGAGCTTAGTGTATCGGACTGCTTTTTTTTATTTTTTTATTGGCATTTCTTTATTTTATATTATTTTCTGTGTTTTAGGTTCTGAAGGCTTTTGTTCATGGAGATGAGAATTTACTAAACAATTACCCAGAGTTACAAGAAGCTTTAGTTTGGGTTTATTTCCACTCAAACATTCAAGAATTCAACAAAGTAGAGTGTTGGGGTCCACTCAAAGAAGCAGCTTCCCCTTCATCTTCTGGTGGGGTAGGTGGGAAAATGGGAAATACAAACACTACAAGCAATAGCAACTGGGATTTACCACAACCTTGTCAAGAATCTTGTTCTTGTTGCTTTCCCCCAATGAGTTTGATTCCTTGGCCTTCTGATGATATTTCTGGGACTGATGGTGAGCCCATCCAAGGCTTGCAAGAGCAGCAAAGTTAAAAAAAATAATGATTCTGTTGGTTTATGTGATTTAATGTAATTAATTAATTATCATTATAGGGTTATGAAAACATCACGAATTGGCTAGTTTTATGTTGGCTGGTTGTCCGTCTACTGGAATCTTTCTCCTTTATTTGGGTTTGCGACTGAAGCATAGTTGTTAATATTTGTTATTGTTGTTGTATAGGGCTATGGAAAAAGGATTGTTTATTGATTGGAAATGTAAATAATTCAGGAGCCATGATTAAAGACAAAGGCATTAGGTTTAGGATGGTGATACCTATAGTTGTGTGCTAGTCAATTAAAGTAAGTTTGGTTGTGCCTAATGCCTTGTTATGTTTTTCATGATCTAGGGGGTGTTTGGATTGGCTTATAAAAAGTAGCTTTTAAGCTAAAAATCAAAAGTCATAAGTTGGTAATATCCAACTTTTGGCTTTTGGCTTATTTTTGTACTTTTAATGCCTAAAAGTGCTTTTAAGCACTTTTTTATCATTGTCAAACACCACACAAACTAAAAAAGTGCATAAAAGCCAATAAACACTTAAAATAAGCCAATTCAAACACCCTCCTAGTCTTGATTTCTGCCTAATGAACAGTTGCACTTGATGGAAACGTGCATCTAATTGTGTTACCAAGGGCCGAAAAAGACAGCCTGGTGTACAAAGTATCTCATATTTTGCAGGGTACGAGAAAAGACCGCACCTCAAAGGTATTGATGTAGATAGCCTATCTTAATGCAAGCATTAGTGGTTGCTTTCACAGCTCGAACTCGTAACTTGTAGGTCATACGAGTATTATTTTACCGTTGCTCCAAGGCTTCCCTTCAAGGGACAGAAAAACCCTAGAAAAATTTAAAAATAGTTCTTAGATGAACGAGGTGTTTACAAACTTGGTAAATATTGACTATCATGGAAAACGTTTGATCAGAAGCAGATTCAGAATTTTAAGTCGGTGAAATGAATTACTTGCATTTGACATTTGGTATAACCATATATTCTTTAAAAATTTGTTTGGCCTTTTTTTTATGTCAAAGACCAGAAGCTACACACAAATTCTCATTGGATCTCGGTTGTTCTTAACAGTGGTGGCTCGATTTGAGGATCTAACATGCTTTTAAGAAACTTCAATAGCTTTATTAATGTGTGAGGTCACATCCTTTGGCAGAAGGCAGCCGCGAAGTCGTCGGGACCTCGGGGGGCCTTCAGGCTTTGACTTTACTAATATAATATCAAGTAAAAGGGAATGTATCCTTTTTTTTTTTTTTTGTAAAGAAAGAGGGCTACTTCACAAGCCGCGGCAAGAGTTGACCATGCAAGGAAAGTGACTAATGAGGGAACGAAGTTCAGAATCAACTAGGGTTCGAAACAAATGAGGGGAGATATAATGGAGTTCTACACGAAGTTCGAAACAAAGGAATAAAAAAAGGTTTCTATGTGGCCACTTCACCCTCTGCGTGACAAAGATCTCGAACATCCTAGAAAAAGTGACTTCCTTATATAGTAAGGGGGCACCTCTATTTTATACCTAAAGCTAGTACCATTGCTCTCTTTTTTCACTTTTATATAAAGCAGAGTGGCCTCATTTATTTTCATTTGACTTGTTTTCTATCTTTACTCTTATTTCCCTTAAAATAACACAGCTCAAGAGTGATTTAAAGACAAAAACCTACAGTGGAGAAAGGTAAAAAAAAAGATGAGACTTATTTATATCAGATAGGAAATAAGAAATTAACCAAGTACAACAGCTTGTTCAGCATGTAAATTATGAATCCGAGGAAAAAATACGACTTCTATGTACAAGGATCAGAGGTGTTCCTTACATTAGATGTTCCTTAACAATAGAACCTCCCTCCCTCTCCCCATATATTATTACAGAATGAATAGGAGATGTTAATGAGAATTAAATAACATCTCCAACTATACACTTGTGAACTATATAAAAGAATAATTGACTCAAAATAAAATGCAAGATGACAGAGATCATCTTATTAGTTGCATGTTTAGGATTCTTCCTGCAACTTTTTACCGTTCCGTCAGACAGAAAAATGTGGTGCTGCTATACTCTTGTGCAAAAAATTATTGGAGTGGAAAATAATTACAATTTCTCATCTGATATGAGTTCTACCAAGCGAAGATGCGCCAATTTCAGTCTCGGTGTTCTGCATGGATTACATTATTCACATGTGAGATGCTTTCGCCTTTTCTAAAAACTTATAAAGATGAATTCAACTTAACATTTATGGTCTTTGAACATAAGGTTTACCTTAGATTTAGGAGAAGGGAAAACATTCCAGAATCTAAGTGTTTCATCTCCTGCTCCAGTTACAATTGTCTGCAGGGATGAGATAACAGCTGTTAGAGAATTATGTAGCGAAATGAAGCTGATATTGCACTTAGAAAAGTATGAAGAAATGAGCAGACGAATGAACAATTTCTTGGTCAGTTACCTGCCCATCTGGAGAGATAGCAAGATATAAAACTCTATATGTGTGGCCTGTTAGTGTAGCTATCTGCATTAACAGCAAAGAACTTGTGTGACCAAGCTAGTAACAGAACGATATATCAAACAAACAAATGTCTATCCCTGTAATTTTGCAGCTAAGCAAGCAGAAACCTACCTTAGACATTGTCGGATATCTCCAAACTATTATTTGGTTTTGAGAGTAACCATGCGTGCTGACTAATTCATTGACATTCTTAGACCATACAAGATTGCAAACCTGCCACAGGATCAACAAAGTTAGTATCTCAGAAAGATTTGCAGTTGCAATATCAGGAACCATAATACACTTTGCCTTATCAAAAAGATGGTCCAGAGAGGCAAGATAAGATTTGGCAATTTGGCATTTGGCAATAGCATCAAATTAACTCATTCTTATAATATGAGTCAAAAACTAAAATCATAAACGACGAATGGTGATATTCCCAAGTACAACTTAGTGACTTAATTTTAAAGATAGATCCAGATTCTTGAAAATGTTTAAAGTCTGATGTAAAAGTCAAATGAATATCACACACAGGTGAATAATACTTGAAAAGGCCAGAATTTATGTTAACCTGATTTTCCCTCTCCCATGTAATCGTGGAAAACTTGATTGACTACTGAATCCTCAAGTTTTGATTGGACAGAGGTGGTACCTGACTCTAGCACACTCTCTCCTTTTCTTTTCCCTTTTTTATTCTGTGCATTATTTGATAAGTTTTATTGTTCTCTTTAAGAGATTAAGTTCTATTCTGCTCGATTTAATTTTTTAAAAAAAAACAGAAAAAGAGAAAGAAAAGACCTACACTAATTTACACTTGTCCTAGCAGAAAGTATGTAATATGATTCACTGATGGTCGCTTAGCATTGGTTCTGCTCTTCAGATGAGGCAAACAAGTTTCCCGCTATTAAGAAGTTGAACTGAGGAATCAGGGGAGTCAAACTTATCAGCAATATTGTTCTTCTGAGAATATAATTAGGTAGCACAGTACTGGCTATCGGGGAAATTATAAGATTAAAATATGGTAAGATATTATTGAATGAGCAAGCAATGAACAGACGCACAGAAAATTAGAAGTGTTATTGGATGCTATAACGGGGGAATACCTGACTACCAGTGTCCATGCAACTGAGATGTGTATTAGTGGTGGTGTTCCAGAATCGAATGCATCGATCAGCTGTGCCACCACCAGAAGCCAGAAGACCATGAAGATGGGGGGACCACGCAATAGCCTTTACAGCAGCAGTATGCTCGCAGTATTTTAGCACAGGTTGTGTTGAATGGTTGTTCCATACAAAGAGCTGGACATCAAGATTTACTTTAGGTCAGCTAAAATGCAAAAGATTACCCAAAAAGCATCATGAGCAAAAAATTAGTTCAAGATATTAACAGCATACCCTGTTATCATTTCCACCTGAAGCTAATTCACGGCTATCATAAGACCATTTGAGCCCACAAACCTGAAAATGTAGTTGCTATTAATAAGCAGCAAAAGGGAAAACAGAAGTTTGATAAAAGAGAAGATGTTAACAAAACAGAAGATAGAATAAAGCCTCACCTCTGATTTATGACCACTCAGCTTACTGACATAATCATCTTGAGCACGTATATCACGCTGAAGAATACTCTTGTCTCGGCTTCCTGAAGACAGTACTGATGAGCTCCAAGCCAGTGCACCAACTCGTAATCGATGTCCCTCCATCGTCCTTATTCTCTTACAACGAGAGGCATCCCATAACTACACGAAAGGATGCTTAAACCACTTAAACGCCATTACTAAGATTCTATCATCTTAAACTAACATATTGATAACTCTATTCTTGTGCATGCATTTCAGAAAATTTGAGTTCCACACAATGATATGTAGAACTAAAGATCCAATTATGGAGCAGATGGATATAAAGAATTCGTATAACTGACCTTAACTCGTTAAGGATTAGATTTTCTTGTTAAAGAGATCAATTTTTTTCAGATTTAGGAGTCCCAAACTTAAAAAACAAAGGAGACAAGGAAATGAAACCACTACAGTATACCATCTCCCTTAAACCTCATGTCTAGTCTTTCCTCAGATTATTTCGAAGCAACTTAAAGAAAAAAAAAATCAATTTTCCATTGAAATCTATGTTAAGTTGTAAAGTTTGGACTGTGATATATGTCAACTTTACAGAAAAACACATTATAAAGATTCTCTTGGGCATGGAAGTTCCAAAAATTGTGAAGAGAAATTCCCCACAAAGTTCTTCATGGATTGCGAAGAGAAATTCCCACAAAGGTCTTCAATCCCCATGTTGCTTCTTCCTCATTAGGAAAGAATAGATTCAATACTCTAAATATCTTCACGTCATGGAGATGATGCAGGAAAAATTTAGTTTTGCAAAGACATTTTTTCTGCATATGACAATAACACTGGTGCCAGGATATGCACTTTCCTTCTGACAAACCCTGAGATTTTAATACAAGGACGTATTACACTCAACCTAATGAGCAGAAAAGTTCCAGACTAAGTGGGGAATCCAGACGTTTTTCACTCATGCATACAGTTTTCTATAAGAAAAGCATAGGAATTTAGGTAAAGCAATTTGCAAATCTCACCTGGACTTTCCCATTACTTGTTCCAACAGCAAGATGTGTTCCCCTTTGTGCCCAACCAACTGAACTAACACTATCATCAATTCCCAGGTCACACAACTTCACTACCTGCACATAGCATTCCAGTAGAATTAATGATCGATGACCAAGAGTAACCAAAACTCACTCCAATAAAGAAGAAAGCTATAGAACCAACAAACTCACCTTGCTACTAGATGCATGCCATAGATACACACAGCTCCCTAGTCCCACAGC